TTTTGTTAGTGTATCTCGATTGAAGTGCAGTTGCTCATCGGTTCAGTGTTTCAGGGTATGTACTGTTGTTTAGGACACACATGCGGAGTACATGCATTTATTTGCACTTCTTGGTACACCCAAGAGAGAGCTTGCGCGAATTAGAAGTCATCCAGCTGACTTTGTACCCGGATAAATGAGTATGAAGTTGGAATCACCCTGCTAATTGAGAAGTCCTGAGAGGTCCATTCAATAGTCTCACTTTTGTTGCCCGTACCTTACCTTATCTCAAACTCGATAGGTTGTCTAGTAGCGGGACGGAACAGGACCCGGACACCCGCCCGTTCGCCCGCAGAACAGGGGCTTGATAGCACTGAGCCATAACCGACCGAACTCGAATTCGAGGTGAGGGATTAGACTGGACCATAGGTACGGAGTACAATACAATGTTTTCCATCCTGATCAAATTTTTATTGTTCTTTGGCTATTGTATCTTACTCAGCTTATTGCTGCCAGTCAACGATTGTATTTTCTGCTTCTTCCGTGCACCCTTGCCTCAGCTCTTGGTTCGGTACCATTGACCAGTCCTCCGGTTCCATCTCATACCAGTAGAGTGGTCCTCACCGGGGGTATGTGCCTATGTGACACTACATGCGAAATCAAGTGTGTAGAGTGAAACAAAAAAAAATGATGTGATGTGAAGCAAGTAAAGCATTGATGAATGCTGTCCGTCCTCATGCGCCTGTGATCCTGTGCCGGTCGCCCGTGTCATACCCATATCCATTCCCAAATGCACTATGTTTGTGGAATTTCGTTTCGTCGTTTCAATTTCCCTCAAGATCTTACATAAAAAAAAACGCCCTAAATATCGATATCGTAGCAAAAGCCACCGTCGAGGTGGTCTATGGGGGATGTCTTAATGAGCCGCAGTGTGACGGGCTACTCCAGGTCCCGGATATGCTGCAGCCTTTGCGATAGAGTGACCGTAGAGGCTTGCACCAGCTGAAGCTGCTGCCGCCGCGGCGGCAGCCGCAGTGGTGGTATCCTCGAGAGCATGTTGTGCGAGTACCGGTGTAGATAGTGTCGTCGTCGCGGTACATAGGTTACATAGCTCCATCTGAGGCTCAGGGGTAAGGCAGTAGAACGGGCTCGAGCATTTACGAGCGCAGCGGGTGAAGTCGATAACCGTCTCACCAAGGCTATGGCGGCAATCCTTGCACATCCGCTGGGCGATTACGGTATGGCACATGTTGATGAGATGTGGTTGTACAATGGAAGAATATGTAGGGAGAAGTATGCAGTAGTATGTGGTAAACGTATTTGTTGTAGTATGTAAGGATGGATGGAAGGGGGGGAGGGATGATATGTAGAAGCGTTGGGATGTGGAGGCAAGGTGCAGACGAAGAAGGTTGTAGATAGATAGCCGTGAAGCTTAATAAAAAGAATAAATTTTGAAACGGTTCAAAGCCTGGTTATTTAGCTGTAACACAGATAAGGTGAGGCCTCGTTGTGTATCGACAACGTAAGCACGCAGAGGCGCAGCTGCGAATGTTGTTTATATTGTTGAAGGAGGCTTGGACGTATCTCAGGCATAGGTAGAGAAGGTATGTCGAAGATTGTTTTTATCCAACCAAACAAGCAGAGAAGCAGGGCAGGCAGGATTCCAGGGAGCTCTAGGACCCTTTTTAACCTTTCGTAAATCTTCCGTAAGATTCAACTAGAAGTCTCGGGGTGTAAGTACCACGAGTGACAGTTGCATGACGCACGTAGGCAAGGTAGTAGTCGTTGGGATAATAGAGTTAGGCTTTGGTCAGGAAAGGGAGAGGGAAACGTCCAGATAACCCGATGGCCAAGTACAGTATGTGTTGTGTGAATGAATTAGAGAGACAGCAAGGGGAGGAGACAAATCGGAGGGAGTATGTGTGTGACCACAGAACGCCATCATATGACTATTCATCTCCTCAAAGGGAATACTCGGAACAGAATTGGGGGACGTACAAACCACTTGCTATCGACAGACAAGGAAGGCAGTTGGAGGATGAAAGGGTGTGTGTTGAAGAGCCAGCGCCAGCTCAGCATTAATCGTCTGGCCTCAAGACAATTGTCAGCCCAGAGGTCGTGAATTGGTAGGTTGAAAGGTCTCATTCTGAGCCCAGACTTTTTTGTTTTTCTGAAAGCGTGTGCCGTGTGCCTTCTTCTGCCAATAACCAAGAGGGATCGATGCATCCGTGACCAGCAAAAAGAGCTTTCCCCGCATTGTACCGTCTGCGAACATCCAAAGGCAAATAGAGCCTTGACTAATAAGTTGCAAGGGACAATACGGAGGTTACCTTGGCTCTGAAGCTACTGCAAGGATATGCATTCACAATGAGGCACTTTATTGCAACTATGTCCCCCCATCAGCGGGTATTCTCGCCTTTCTGACAAGAAGCAAAAAGGGCACGGTTTTGTCTGTGGCTTTGGATAGGACGACACGCGTCTCGGCTTGTCTTGTCTTGACTCCATTCCTGGGGTTGTTTTTTTCGCGGGGAACCTAAGGTCTCTGATAGGTATGGCCAAGTATGATTCATTGTAACTAAACTTGGCGCGCACCCCAAGCTTGGCATTATAGATGGGCTTTTGCCTCTTACACGCATAACCAGGCAGCCCAGGGTATCTTTTTTCCCTTCTATCACATGGTATTTCATGATCTCTTATCACAGATAGCCTGACTGGGGAGCTTGTATCACTATTTTCACGTCATGTCTCGTCATGGCATCGTGAGTAACATTGCGCATCTCACTTCGTCAAAAACGATAGCTGATAAAGGGCGTCCTATGGTTCGCTGCGAGATGTTTGCCCCCTTGCGGCCTGTCAAAAAACACGGGATGATGTAGAATCTACGTGAGACAGGGGGAAATCGTCCACCTGCAGGTTTGTACATAAGTTACTTGTGAGAGTCGACGTCCAACAAGCAACCAGCATTTTCCATTGCTTCCATTGATTTCGTTCCAACGTAAATCACCGGCCCAATATCTCCGCCCATCATGCAATACCAATCTCGATCAGGTTTCACAAAGGAACATGGCTCTCAGCTGATGCATTTGCCTGATCCCCACGTAATCAAGATCTTGAGTATCAGCCAGTATTCGCCTTCAAAGGCCACGTCTTCCGTCATTAGGTAAAGCATTAAATTTTTTGAGTCTTATCATTACGATGGTCACTCAGAGCCATGACCTGGTCCTGCATGGAGCCAAAGCACTGGAGTGTCATCTTGATCGAGGCGCCGCATATGCATTGCACCTCTTCCGTCATATTCTAGACCAGCCATCTTCATTGACTTTTATCCCAATTGGTCTCCCCGGATCCTGCTGAGTGGCCCTCTGAGCTTGTTATGGACGAATTGGATGAGCCAGAATCTCCCATCTCAACCTCCAGGATTTTGAAGAACGTTCATGACCGCTTCGCTGGCTCCATTCAATCCATTGAATGACAGCTCAAGGTGACCTCAAATTGATCTGACGGGGTGACTCGTGAGAAGCTTCATAACGGCAGTTGTTATTTGGTGTGTTGGTGAGCTCTTTTTTTAGGATGGTTGCTATAAGTCCGTCGTCAGAGTTGCCAATGTTGAACTTTCTGATCCCATAATCAGGACCACGGCAGCGCCATGCCGGAAATTTTAACTTAAAAGACTAGATGGGCTCATGTTGTCACTGTCTACTGGTTACAGAACGCCAGATTTAGAAGAGGCGCGACACACTCTTTGGCTAGTCACGTCGATCTTGCTAAACCTTGTGGTAGCTTAAGCCACTTCTGATGAACAGGTTTTGGATTTATCCTCCCAGGCTTTGAATCATAGCTGGGTTCATCAATTCTCTTGTGTTGAAATTTGTGGTACCGGAGAAAGTAATCAAGGCTACAGTTGCTGCGTTCCACTTGGGAGCCTCGGGAATATAGAAGGCTAGATCTTCGCCATTTAACCCCAGGAAGAGCTGGGCTGACTATATGACCTTTCTCAAGCATGGCTCATAGCTCTAACCTTATAAGGCAGTGGACGATATCACGGTTGAAACTTCCGAATCTATCATTATTGGTTGACCACAATTCGGCTCATCTTATTCAATCTTGAGGTGGAACGAATGTTCAACAATCAACCGTCTGACGATGTCACACCAACCAGTTGACTGCAAAGTGGTATAATAAGTTTCGACCAAAGCCGATGAGTTGGCAAGAGCCGAGAATGTATGATTAGGAAAGTATCGCCAACAATGCGCTGATTGACGCGTATCGCAAAGTGATGTGTTGACTTACCTAGGTAGATGAAACTGATATCGCTCCCGGGTAGGTGATGCTTAAGTAAAATTGTGTGGTGGGATGGGTGAGGTATATACCCTGTATCACAAGCCATATGTCGTTTATTGCTACAGAGGTGTCGGAGTTAGTGAAGCTTTGGTGTTAGTATTCTTATGCGCGCTCTCTGGTTCTTCGGCGATTTTGAGAAGTTTGAGAATCCATCATGCCCTTCACTGAGGCTCAATAGCCACATACCAGACAGCCCCCGAGGACCAATATGCATGTCATTGCTGATGGAGTAAAAGCTTCTGAGAAAACATAAGAAGCCACAGGAGAGCAGCATGCCTGCGGCGGCAATATTTACAAAAAACATCGACTTTCTTCCCTCTTACACATATAGGGAAGCAAGCCTAAGGGAGCAAGAAAACGTCTAACATTAAATCAAGATGTTGAGATAAACTGATATAAGGGCTGCTGAGATACCTCAAATTACACAAGTCTCTTTACCACTTAGAAAAGAGGTCATGAGTTTTCTTTGGCAAGTTCTGTATTCTAACCCCAATGCCATGCTCGTTGTGGAGTAAGGTAGCCAATGGTAAACACCTATAATTTAATTGGCCAACCACTTAAACTGCCTTACGTAAACATCTCGGACCGGCGACAACCTCACTTGTTGGTCTTGGTGCGGCTTCTCCCCACGAGAGCCTCACAATCAATCGCTCAATTGAACGCTGTCCAACCCGCCCAACATGTTTGCTGCACGACAGAGGGTAGCCGGCGTGGCTCGTCAGCTGCAAAGGACGGCGCGAACCTACGCCTCCGACGCCCATGCCCATCACAAAGCCCCAGAAGTCAACGAGTCGTTCAGCGTAAGTCAAGTCACACTAGCTTGCACCACGGAGCCCACGCCGACACCAATGCGCTTGGATGACTTGAATTGAAAACAAGATACTGATTATGATCCCTAGACCGGTTCTCTCCTCGCTGTCGGCAGTTTCTTCGGCTCTGTCCTCGTCTACCAATTCGTTCCTCAGGAGGGCGAACAGTCCTCGATCCTCAGCCTCATCGACAAGTACACATCCCGTGGAAAGGACTGGGAGGATATCAATGCGCTTCACACAAAGGCCATGGAGCAGGCTGGTTACGACCGAAACCTCTTTGAAAACGGCGGCAACAAGCACCGATTTGTTGATGTTGCCTATCCCGAGTTCGTCCACCTGATACCACTTGCCGTCAATCGATGGAGGCTGCCGCCTTCTCTCTATTGACGGAAAGTAGCTGCTGCAAGAACCATTTCTAATCAGAGAAACAGGGCAATGACTTCATATGCTCCTCGAAACAATGTCGCTGGCCACCTGGCCAACATGGACTATGTTGTTGAGCACTACCGACAAAAGCATATCCGGGAGGAGGAGCGGAAAGCGGCCAAACTGGCACAGAAGGAAGAATAGTGTTGTAAACTAGCCATGAATCAGACATACCTACGAATTCATCATTCCATTGAGTTATTCAACACAGTCTCCTCCTAAATTTGATCCTACATATCGAACCGAGCTTGCCTCATGTGCTCTCCAAACGGCATTCCGCTCCTTCTTAACATCCATTGTCAACAGCATTAACTCAAAGCACTTACTCCTTGGGCGATTAGCTCTTTCCAAAAACCCACCTAGCTTGCTTCGCATTAACTACTAAGGTAGGTAGGTACCTTATTTACTACCTACCTATCCATCCATCCCGTGAAGTCGAGTTACGCTTTGCCATCTCTCTTCTAAACAGACAAGGTACTTTGAACAATAATTCATCAACATCAACTATCATCTTTCGTTTGGATCCAAACAGTCTTTTCCTAGCTCGAAGTTTATCTCAATAGGAAACTACCTATAGCAACATGACGGCCAGCCAGAGTGGTCAGAGTGATACTGGTAAGAACAAAACAAACAACCTGTGACAAGATGCTCATACCATTGGTAGAACCTCTGCTTCAGCAACCATGTCCCGGTGAACAAGCTCCCGAAGACATGAATACTGCAAACTTATCCTCAAACCCACGGCAGGTTCCTGTCTCGACTAAAGGGGAGAAGAGCCCGCCAGCAACGAGCCCTCACGAGGTGAAGCTTGAAAGAGACATCAAAGCTTGCCTCCGCAAAGGATCCAGACGGAAAGTTGGAGTTTTTGCCTGCCGTGACCTTCCTCATGGCCACGAGATCATCGGCGCAAACCGACCAATATTTGTTGCTCCCGACGTATCCAGAGAGCTCCCTGAGGCACTTTTTGCCCATCACAGAAACACGATTGCCAACTTGAACGCAATAATACATGTATGCGTCGACAAGTTCAAACGAGACCACGCCATCGAGGAACCTTGGGTGACCCTTGCTGTTGTCGAAAGTTTGGCTATACACATGAACCATGCTTGCCAAGACTGTGCACAGGGGACATTCCTGGTTGCTGATACCTACGACATTACGGTCACGCTTGTGAAGGATGTCAGAGCAGGGGAGGAGATATTCATTGACTTGGGCGAGGCCGGGTCACACTTGGCCTGTCCACTTTGCAGCCCCAAGGAATCTATATGGAAGAGGCGGAAACGCCAACTCAAAAGATTTCTCGCAAAACTTTACCCTCGCAACATGCTCAAGACCGCCGAACCACCAAGTGAATGATGTCATAAGAACTTGAGACTGAGGCTTTCCATTTTAGCAAGTTAGCTAGGTCCGGGTAGGAAGGGTTTGTGGAACATGGGGTTTTAGGAGCGTTATCATAATTGTCAAGCATCAGCGGTAGTCGAGGGTAGTCATCAAGCGGACAATGCTCCTTTATTGTACTAATCATGGTACCCATTGTCATCAGTGTTTTTGATAGATGTTTTGCCCATCTACCAGAACCAGTCCTTTTCGCCCAAAATGTCCATGAATGCAGAAACCACCCGAGACCGCAACCTTCTTACTTGAGGGGAATGAATCGAGAAGAGTGCGTGGCACCAATACCGGGCCTACCGTGCTTGACAGGCTTGCTGGAGGGATGTTAGCCATATTTTCCCCTGTTAGTGGGGGACGGTAGAAACATACTATGAGATAGAGAACTCAGCCAAGTAGTGACCAACCATCTCAGGCTTGATCTCGACCTGGTTGAACTCCTTGCCGGAGTAGATGCCAATGACACTGCCAATCATCTCGGGGACGACAATCATGTCTCGGAGGTGGGTCTTGACGAGGTCGGGCTTCTCGTTGGGCTGAGCCTCCTGCTTGGCCTTTCGGAGCTTCTTGATGAGACCCATGGGGCGGCGCTTCAGGCCACGGTTGATCCTGCGGCGGGCACGAGCGTGGACAACATCGCGGAGCTGGTCGGAGGAGAGATCGAGGAGCCTGTAGAGTGGAGAAAAAAAAACAAATATCAGCATGGGTTCTGTTCGCTGGGGGGCGTCCTCGCGGTTCTTCATCTTCCAGCATCGAGGCGCAGAAATCCTGCAGTGGCAACATACTGATCAAGGTCGATTCCTCGGTAGGAGAACTTTCGGAACGCTCTCTTTCTCTTGAGCTCGGCAGCCTGCTCGGCGTCCTATCATCCGGAACACAAGTCAGTGAAGCTCTTTTTTGTATTCTCTCCATCTCTCCAATGTCGTAATCATCGTGGGTAGCGGGCGGGAGTCGAGGAAGCCATGTCGGCGGCGAGTTTATATTTTCTAATCCAAGGGGGAAGGGATATATCGAGAGCACACGTACGTATTCGTCAGCCATGATCGCGGTGTTGTGTTGTTGAATTCGCTGAGCGGAAAACTGATGGCCTGGCTGGGGTCGATTTGAAGGCGGTTGTTGCAACAATCGCTTAGGCGCACAGGGAAAGAGCGATGTAGGGTTCTTGCCCTTCCCCCCTCATCACGTGATCACCTTCAAAACTGTGATTGGAAATTTACGTACTTGCCCGCCTTTATTCTCACAACGGAAGAAATGAGCTCCGCGATCCCGATATTTTATGGGGATGCGGAGCTCCTATCGTCTATCAGTACCTTATCGAATTCATGAGACGATGTCTCGAGTCTATTCACATCGATAGCTTCTGGTTAGATTGTGTAAATTGATATAGCAGTGACACTGTTATGTGGCCGATCATTGTGTGTCAGTGAAGAAATCCAAGTGGAATGTTCTCAACCTTCATAGTACAAAGGTCCATCGCAACCACAGCTTGAACGCGATAGAGTAATGGCCATCACATTCAGATAGCGTAGACTCGCTGATGAGACCGGTAGTTATCTTGAATACATACCTACTCCTTCAACTCCCGGCGAGCTTGTTGAGTTGGCACTTGATCTTCAATCATCTAGCCGTATAAGTGGTTGGTTGCCCTGGCTGGCTGGCATGTGTTGCTGTAACCTTATTGGTAGTTTGCTGTCACCAGTCATGATCTCTCGGCAGCCAACCGAGCTTCTGAGCAACCTTATTCCCTTTTTCCTCTACAAATCGTCTGAGAATAGACGCTGATTGGGATAAAGAAGCGAATAGATCCAGCCAAGACTCGCGGCTTGCTTTCTCCAGTGCATCTTATGATTATTGATTCCTTGTCATCTTTTCGTATGGTTTCGTCCTACATTGGCGGTGCAACGCCAAGAGTATCAAGTTTACTGGGCGTTGTGCTTTGACAGTCAATTGACATTCATTTCCTTGTTTGAACAAGTCAAGGCGGTTTCTCTCCAATAATGAAAATGTAAAAGTGAGTTGAGGAAGTAGAACGGTGAGTTGCTCATGACTGATAATTACGGCCAAGACGGAATTTTCTGCCTTTTTATCTAGGGAAGGGGATTGGTTGTTCTTGGTCGCGGCTTGGTGTGCATGTTCCAAGACTTCCAAGCCGGCGTATTCGGCACAAACCAAGGCGCCCTTCATTTCCCGCGTCAGAGACTCTCAAATGCCCAGAAATTCGATACTCATCAGCCAAGACCGTGGCACTGGGGCCAAAAGGCTCGGCTTAGGCTGGACGAGCCCACTATGATGAGCACTGGCCCTCGTAAGCTATGTACTGGGTATGGTCATGGTCATTGGGCCTCCCACGCTTCCGCAGTAACCTCTGATGGCTTGCGCGTGTCTTATGATGGAGGCTTGACGATGACATTCAGTATAAACCTATACCTTATTTGAACGACTATCCGTGACGACCATGGGCTGTAGCTAGAGAGAGAGAAGCTCACCTCACCTGGAGCTAGGTAGGTATGTACAGTACTACTACCTACCACGACTACGACAATGAGGACAATACCGCAATGCCTAGAACTCACAGCGGTCAACGTGGACGTGTTTCGGTGCAATCCAGGCCTTGGCGTTTCTCGGCACCCACCCGTGATAAGATTTCGCCAAGCCTTCAAAGGCCTCAGAAGGGGGAACACCAACGCTACTGTACCCGTCTTCTCGCTGCTGCTGCTGCTCGGCAGGCATGCTATGGACTTGTCTGCTTTGCGTTGCTTTGCGTTGCTTGGCTGCTTCTTGTCGTTTCTTGGGTACGAACCCTTCCTTTTCCTTTCCTTTCCTTTCATCCATTTGTCACCATTTCTTGTCTTGCCCTTCTGTGTTATATATCTATCCCCATCGGTTCGCTCCTCTGCAATACCTACGCCCGGATGGCCTTCGATATTGCCAGAGACGCTGTCCTCGATATTCTTCACGCGCGTCTTGTCTGCAGCTGAGATATAGTCAAGTCTGCCCGAAACCCCACACTGCAGATTATCTGCCTAGCGAATCTTTCACGCGCCCTTTTATCCAAAGAGAACGCAAACTATTGGTCGCATTGCCGGATGGACAAGAGTGACGATCGTCATTGATACGCCGAGTTGACGGCAAGCAGAGCACTCGTGGTGCGGCTTGTAGTCGAATCGGCCTGGCATATAAGCTTAAAGTTGTTTGCAATTCCTGCAATTCCTTGTAGTCACCAAAACCATGTCTTCTTCGATCGAGGATGATGAGTCCACATCATATGGGTCATCGTCAATAGCCTCCGCCGAGCCGTCATCAACCATCTCTCTATCCGACCCAACGCCTGCTCCGACAACACTTGTGATCGCACCTAAACCTACCAATGAAGACGACCTAGACGATGACGGGGTATTCCCACCGATGACCACACCTTGGACCGGACCTGTTGATTGCACATGGACTTATGATGCAAACAAGGTACCAAAGTCAGGTTCTGGTGGCCTCGCGGCAATGCTTGACTTGCAGCCAATTGCTGGAGCGAAGTCATTGTCTTGCTATCCCGATGCCATGTTCGATAAAGGACTTACGGGGGTTTACAGTCCAGGCACATGCCCTCATGGATGGACCACCGTATCACTGCGCGTTGATACTAGTGAGAACCGGGACGACGAGACAACGACAGCTATTTGCTGCTCATCGTAAGTCATGGGAGAAGGTGTTTACATGTGCCATTCTAATTGCAGTAGGGAATACACTCTGGATGGCAATTTGTGTAAACGTTCGGTTTCATCCGTGTTGGCTGTTCCTTACACGTACAACCAGACAGCTCAGACTTATGATGCTGTGTCAGACACACCAACGACTCTGTATGGTGCAACAATTGCTGTTTATACCATAAGAGCCCTGTTCAAAGACAGTGACAAGGATGCACTTGGACTCAAGGATGAGGACGATATCCCAGGTACTGAGCATCATGGCCGATCCTTGTCCCTGGGCGCGCGCATCGGTATTGGTGTTGGTGTCGCGGTTTTCGTTCTGCTTGCAATAGGAGCACTTGCTTTCTGGCTCATTCGAAGAGAGCGAAAGAAGACGGAAAAGAGACGAGCACACGAGCTCGGTGCGGTGGGAAGCATGCGTCACACCTCGCCAGGACCAGGAGATAATTTCTACGCCGCTGCGGACGCGAACCATCGACGTGACAGGAGTCGCCAGACCGCAGAGCCACCGCCAGCTTACGAGGCTGCTACAGACTCGAACAGCATGACCGAAAACGATAGTCAGCTAAGCGAGGATACGGCGACACGGGACGAGGAGATCAGGGCGTTGCAAGTCCAGAAAGAGGCGATTCAACGCCGTATAGAAGAGCTGGAGCGTTCTGAGACGCAGTCCCAAGAAGACAACCGGCGAGATTAAGACTAGAATCAAGTGCGAATGCTCAAATTCTGGAAGCGAGAAGAGAGCGAGGGATCATGACCTGGACGGGAAACGGCCTACACACCTATGATACCACTTTGCGCGGCCGTAGCATGTTGCTATGGGCTATTTTGCTTTTTGACTACATACACTCACCTTAAAGGAGGAAATATCCGAAAGTCTTTTTTGGAGTACGGCGGTTTGGTGGGAAAACATTATGGAAACCCATACAATTTAATACCAAAGTTAAAATTCGTGATTTTTATAACAGAAGTTTCCTCCCGCTTTCTTATAAATTGTAATAGAGTCAGGCGTCGATGCAGACAACCATAGAACAAGAGTCATTTTCTGAGTTTTGATAATAGTGTTTGGCTCAGGGGCGCTTGATGGGGTAGGTAAAGCGTAGCATGATAGACAAAGTAGATTAGTTAGATTCATCTATTTATCAAAATGATTTCTTAGACCATGCTGGGAGCCTTCCAGGCAGTCCCTTATAGACTCCTTTATCGATAGCCAAGAGGCAAGAAAACCTAGGACCTCTCTCTATCCTAAGGGGGAGAGACTTAGGTAAATTTAGTACAATTTTATATAAACTTAGTAGGCCTTAGATTAGGCATCTCAAGTTTCTTGCTCTCTGTGGACAGTTTACATTGGCAGTACATTGACAATATCTACGTGAATGGCCTTGACGTTGTAGTAAGCCTCCAACCCTGCCTTGCCGAGTTCTCTACCTATGCCACTTTGTTTGACTCCGCCAAAAGGCACTCGGAAGTCTGAGTCATTGCTGCTGTTCCCATACCATGCCAGTCTCGATCCTGCGGGCGACGTTGTGAGCCTTGCTGATATTTTCTGTAAAGATCGCACTACCGAGACCATACATCGAGTCATTAGCCAAACTCACTGCTTCATCCTCGTCTTTGAAACGTAATAATACGGCGCATGGACCGAAGATCTCCTCTCGTTAAACTCGCATCGATAGCCTAACGTTGACAAAGATGCTTGGGCTGACAAAGTACCCCTTTTGAACTCGGGTGACATACAGCCATCCAATGTATCTTTTTGCCCCCTCTTCCTTTCCAAGCCTGAATATTCTCATACTCTGTCAAATTGGGCTTTGCTGGCGAGGGGACCGAGGTATGTTTCCTCTTCGAATGGGTGGCCCGCATGATATTTCAGCGTTGCTGATTTGAGGGTGTCGAGGAAGCGATGGAAGATTGTGTCCTGAACCAGAATGCGTGTTGTTTGTGTGCAGAGCTCTCCTTGATTAAAAGTGGAGAGAAGGTGAGCCCGTTGAGCGGTCAAGTCCAAGTTTGAGTCTTGAAACACCAAAACAGACTTTCTACCGGTCTCGAGGATGAGCTTTTCATGCAGACACTGCCAGGTTTCATGAGCCCTTTTCCTACGCGAGTGCTCCCAGTGAATGAGATTTTAGATATTTGCTTGTGAGTTGCCACGGCGGCACCAACAACGGGGCCTGATTCATTGATGATATTGACGACAGGGCCGAAGACCGGCTTCCTTGACCAATGTGGCCAGACAGAGGACAGGGAGAGGTGTAACTTGTGAGGACTTCAAGATAACAGTGTCGCCACAACACAATGCCGGGCGAGCTTGGTAATAGCCATATTAAGGGGAAAGTTTCAGGTAACTACCAAGACACAGATACTGATTGATTCTTTGAGTGTATACGTAGATTTGTCAGCACCAGTGTCGATAACTTGCCCAAAGAATTTTCCCAGCATTGAGGAATTCGGCACTTGCGAGAGACGAACAATTCTCTTCCATTAGATCAGCTAGGCGGAGCATGAGCTTCTCTCTATCAGTTCCTGACAATCTGCGCGAATCGGGGTTTGAAAAGGCTTCAACGGCAGCTTGAACAGCCTCATCGAGATCCTTCTCGCGGGCCAAAGCAACATGGACTATCTCTTACTCGGTACTAGGGAGACATGTAAGAAAGCGAGCTCAAGTGAACTGAGAAACTCTGCCACTTACGCAGGATTCACTACAGCGAGGTTTCTTGTGTTGTTGGACTTGACGAATTCATTATTGATGAAGAGACCAACAGGCTGTGCCGATTAATGGCCATTGGGAGTCAACGAAAATAGGCGCCATCGAGGCTGAATGTGCAAAGCTAGTGGTGGTGGTGATACTGATTCGGTCATTGCGATTTGGAGCGGTATCATCGTCACCTTTATACCGAAGACATGCAGGTTGAAGCGATTGATATCAAAGTTTCTCCACCACCCATGAGTCAGGAACTGCTCATCTCTACGCCCCTGGGTCGCTTTCTCATGGGTGTATGTTCTTATCCCGACATTTCAGCGTTTTGGGCTGGTAGAAAACAACCATCACAGGGGGGAGTTGGACATCTTGGATGTCCCATCGCACCCAAATAGAACCTGGCGGGAGCTTGACAGCCTTGGAGAGAATGATAGGGTATCCCGAATCTCTTGTGGATATATTTGCTGATGTTGCCGAAGTTGTTGATGATGATATTTACTCGGAACTCGAGAACAGGCTTAATTTGAGCAAAGCCTATCTCTGTCAAGTTTCACACAAGGTGCCTAGGAGATAATTACCCACATTGCCGTGCCAGACTTCAATAAAGCTCATAGTCCATTACCGAACAGCATCACCGCTTACTTATGGCGACGCAAGCTATGAGTCGGAAGGCTCCTTAAGACGCTGCGCTGTGCCGTCGGCCCCTCAAAGTCTGTCACCTATCGCTGGTATAGTCCTGTGCAATGCCTGTGAAACCTTTCGTTTGACTACTTACTTGTATCTATGGAGATACTTTGGTTTCCATGCAAAACCTGAAGCAATCAGAAGTGCCCTGTCTCCTGGATTCAGCCTGGGTAGTGTCACTCAAAAAGAGTGTCATCTTGGCGAGTGCATGAGAGAAGGTTGCTAAGCAGGGAGAGAGTTAGATTTTGTGATTCCTAATGGGTGCCGTTTTTATATTCGATGAGGTTACGAAATCGCGTTTATATATCAATGGACTTCAAGAATTCCACAATATCATGGGAAATATATTGGAAGAGGCCTCCCTTTTGGAGCTTTTGGCGGCATTTCGACATCATGGCTCTCCATGAGCAGAGAGCCTAGAGATCGAACCACTCTGGGTTGCTCAATAGCAGGATTTTCAACATATCCGCTGCCCTGGCTGCCATTGATCTGGTCACGGAGGACGAAATACATCGCTTTAATAAACCCCTGGACATTGGATCGGCCGTAGAGTTTTTCTTTTCCTGAATATGTGCCACGCGGAGGATCATGTTCAGCGGCTTCTGACGGCGTTTCAAAATTTTATTGAGGATCTCAAATGGAAAATCTTCTTGTCTTTGAAAGTATTACAATGATAGGCAAACTCAAGCTTGACTCGCAATGGTAAGTGCTTTTTGCCCCTGGTTTCCTATGGTTTTCACATAGCTAGTTTTCATGATTGTTAACTTTAAAATAGAAGTCTAGGCGATATTGGAGGCGAAGAAAGATATTTATGTCATCGAAAAAGCACCATGTATGGTTGTCAATGAGGTCTACAATCTCGCAAACTCTATCAAAATACCCCCAGTTTCTTGAGATTTTATCTTGAACTCCATGCTAACTATGCTATGTTATCCATGATCTCTAGGTCTATTGGATCTTTAAGTCGTGATGTCAAATCGAAATAAGTGATAGGAACACGAGGATGAGTTGGCTCACCAAGAAACTTCTCACAAAAGGCCTTACAACTCAGAAAGATGCGGGCCATCCCTAAAATACCTTCATTAGCAAAGTAATCCTTTCAGTCACTGGGCTGTTAGACCTACCATGTCCGTGATATCCACCAACTAGGTATTGGCCAGGTTTGCCTGGAAGCTCTCCCAAAAATGGAAGAAGATCCTTACTCAGGCCCATGATGCCACTCCAGGAGAATGCCACGGCACCTTCAGGGCTAGTCCCAGAAGATGACCTAGAGTCTTCCCAATCTCTGAATATTTCAACTGGTGCATTCAAAATGTAGGACTCGACTTCAGACACGACCTGACGGTCATCGCAGTCACCGAAGCCGCCTGAGAGACCTTTGGGATGAGCAACCTCGCCACCGCCCCAGATCAGGTACTTTTCAGGATTTGGTCTTTGTATGAGATAGTCGTAGTTGTCATTGGATATGAAAGCAAAAGAGGTCGTTAGAGGCTGGTCCATATAAGCCGGTGGGGGAGCGATGGCAGAAACATGACCTTTGAAGGGGATAATTCGCCCATCAAGCTCAGGCAGGAGGTACGAAGAATAGCCATTGGTTGCATGGATGACCTTGTTTGCCATGATAATCCCTCGGGGTGTTGAGACCTCCCAAGGCCCTGAGGTGCTGGGAGATACACCCGTGACAGGAATATTGGTGTGAAGACTTAGTCCTAAGTCGAGCCCCTTGCGTAAAACAGCGATTGCGAGTTTATATGGCCACAGACTGGCAGCCGGGAAAGTGATTGCTCCATAGCAAACCTTGACGCGTAGAGACTCCTCCGCTTCTGCTTTACTGAGTACGTGGATATCGGAGACATCGCCGCCAGCTTCTTTGAAGCCATTGTACGAAGCCAACCCGGTTTTCCAGGACTCTGGGGTCAGGTAGACATCGGCTGAGCGGTACTGTACCAGGTCAACTTCCGTAGCTAGATTATTCTCTTGGATGAATTTTGCGGTTTCTTGATAGTTGACGGCTTCGAATTCGCACTGAGCCTTTGCAACATCAGTACCATGTAGAATAGAGTACGATGTGAAGCCACGATAACAATCGGGTTTTATATGGCCGCCTAAACAGAGCATTGTAAGTACTATACAGTGATAAGTCATTGATTGATGTGATGTCTGTTACCCACCGTTTCTTCCAGTAGCACCACTCGCTGCGTTGCGGGCCTCCAGCATGACTACAGACTTTGGTCTGTTTGGTGAGCTGGAACTGAGCAACTGGTGGGCGATGAGAGCACCAGACAACCCGGAACCGATTATAACAACATCGGCAGAGGGGGGAAACTCAGCACTACAGTTGTGATTCCAGTCAGTTCGGTATTGACCTAAGCATAAATTTTTCACATCTCCTCACTAGTAAGATTAGGTCTAAAGATTGTGAAGCTTGTCAGGGCTATTCATAGATTACTGCTTACGATTGGTAGTTACTGATCATTGGGTCTGGTTCGGTCTGCCAGAAGGACTTAGTCGGATTGTCAACTGGCAGAGACGCCAGATAACCAGTAGATGACTGCATGAGGTTGGCCTGGTCTGAACTACCTCGGAAGTGATTGGTGAATCAAGGTGCTGAGAGAAATGATATTGAGCCCCTGAGACAGTATTCTTGTTGAGCAGTTGCAAACGATATTGTACTGTTGTCAATAGACAGTCGTCTCTTATCTGGGTGGCTAACTACGGGGTGGTGATATTGTGCCGCAAACCAATGCCGAGATTCTGATGGATATGGAACAACACGTAGAGGGGCTACCGAAAACCATCCGACGGCCTATTTATGCGTATCTTGTTCTCAACGATCAGGACTAGCGCATATTATCTCACTTGAAGCTAGCTACCTGCTAATGGATCAAATGAATGATTGCCCCGCGATCAAATACAGTTAAACCAGGGTTAGTTGATAGCTGAGAGATAACTGTATTCTGGGGAATACCTATCTAGTGCAATTGGCTAACACTATTTCTTGATCTTGTCGTCTCTTGATGATATACATCTTCAACGGCACTGGGGAAGCTTGTTCTGTGATCAGAGGGACAAACTCCCCCCGAGCCTTTCTATTCTATTATATGTGAGGTGCCTATTGACTTTTCTTCACCACGGATAAATCTTCAACACTTTCAACTTGAATAGAAAGCTAATAACTCAACATGGCATCTATATCTGATAGAGGCCCTGATGCCGTCAAGAAGATGGATCCTCGCAACTCCATCGCTGCCGACTTTGCCAAAGATGCAGTTATTCACGATTTTGGTTATAGTTCCACATATGCCAGCTTCTTCGTTCCCTGGGCGCCATGTACAATGGCTATGGCCTCGTAAGTCACCTAGTTACTTCTACTCCATACTCGAGATGCTTGCGACAAAGGCCCGATCCAAGTATCCACTGAAGACTAACAATAGCTATAGACCTATTTGCGGCATCTTCATAGCTGTCTCCTCTTAAATCAACTATGGCGGCTATTGGGGACTAACTTGGTAGTTTCCATCGCTGATGGAAACTATCCTGCAACTCAAACAATGAGGACTCTGCACTGACCATAAATATTCAGGGGCTGCGTTACCTCTTCATTCCTTTTCCTCTCGTGGGCTCTCACTTACCGCAGAGTTCTGTTCATCGATGCCATTCAATGACACCAACTATTGGTGGACAGTTGCACTCGCACCTCCGTCGATATCCCGTCCTCTGTCTTCGTCGCAGGCATGACCAACATCATGAATGCCCTCACAATCATTGTCAGTTTTGCTTGGGCATCTTCCAGCTCAGTCTGTATCATCATCGGCCTCTTTACCGGCTGGGTACCGACCAGTTCTATCATCTTGCGGTCGCCATATCTACCTGTGCTGCTTGGTTTTTCACGGCATCTATCAGGATGGACAAAGCCAGCCTGTTTTCATCTCCTATGGTACCTTTCCAACCCTTTATTTTCTATCTCATGCATTATCAATTTGGTTGACTTAGAGTGACAGTAACCCTTGTTCTCGTCTCCTCGGCCTGTTTTGTCATTGGACTCCCCGTCGCCCAAAGGACCCAGGGTATTTCTTTTACTTCTGCCACTACCGTCTTTGGAGACTACACCAACTACGGTGACTGGGACGAGACTGTTTCTGTTACGTTCAGCTTCTTTTGTGCCGTATGGGTCATCACTGGTTGGAATGCACCGTCAGCCGTGGCAGAGGAGACTCATAATGCGCGGATAGTTGTACCTCCCTCCATCATCAACACGTATTGCCTACAAGCAGGTATGGGTATGCTATTTTGCATCTCGTTGGCTTTCTGCATTACCGGCATGGATGCAGCGGCATCTGATCCTACGTAAGTCTCATTTCACAGTAAACTGGTAACATGTCCTGCCTGGAAGCACGAGACCTTACCCATGTGTGCAAACACTAACCGGCTCCCTTTAGCGGCTACGCTGCCTTTACTCTTCTAATGAGCGCTGGGGTCTCAAGGTCGCGGGAGCTTTCCTGCTCACCATCTTCCTAAATACCTCCATCGGTGGCGCGGCTGTTTTGGTCATGATGTCTTGTCAGACAGCTGCCTTTGCACGGGATGGGGAGATGATGCTCCTCAACTAAAACCTATCATACGTCTCGCCCCGGAGCAATATGCCAGTTTTTTTTTTTGAAACAACGGTTCTCACGATTGGCGGCATGCTTATGTTATGTCTGGGATTTTCTCCTATTGCTTCCGAGACCATATACTCCCTGGCTGTCATCGCGATCATGGTATTGTACGCACTACCCATGGTATTCAGAGTCTTCGATAGTGGACAATGGGTTCCGGGCCCGTGGAATATGTAATGTTTGACAGCCTCTGGGATGTAGATGATGTTGGACACCTTTCACGGGCAATATGTCTTTGTAGCCAATGCCTTCAGTGCCCGTTGCCATGAATCCTTTGGGGGGTTTGTATGTACCATACGTCGAGCGAAGTTGCCTTCTCTGTGAGATACAAAAACATGTCTTATCAGCCTTTTTACGCCTTGTATATCCATTCCGACTATTGAATATTCTCAGGATAGGGTTGCGCCTATATTAGTATCTAATGGGTTTATATATATATAGGAAATAATGGCAGAGCCGTTGCCAAACGGTATTGATATCAAAGGTTTGGCCGTAACTGTAATCTCTTCAGTGGCAGCGCCGTTGCACAAACGAAACGAGGAGCCATTCATATCCGCTGAATATGATTTTAGATGTGTGTGTATAGGGAGGCAAGAAAGCCTACAGAACCTCTATCTTAAGTGACAAAAATTACCGATAGTAAACTTATCTGAATTCAGCCGTATATTCGTCTCACTTTTAGACTACACGCCCTGAGCTTTGTTCGTCCCTAAGGGCCGTCGATTTAAGGCTAGTTCTATAGCTCACCACTCGCGAACAAGACTTCTGGGTATTGGCATACGGGTCCTTTAATAGGCCTTCCCCAATACACTGGGTATGGACCAATCCTCTCGTGATATGTACTCCTCTAGTAGGGTGTTGTCTGTAGTCAGGGAGTCTCATGGCTATAGTCACCTGTATAATCACTGAAAATTCCGCCCCGAGCTTGATATCCTGGTGCCTTGCCGCATTCCTATCTGGTAGCCTGGAGTGATGATTTCAGGCACCGAAATTAATACACGCCTCGACTACAAGCCATTGAAGTTGTGACCAGACTGGACAAGTCAGGAAACATGAAATGTCCACGAGCGGCGACTCTATATGCGATGGTAGCTGTAAAAAGGTAAGGTAAGGAAGAAGATCGAGATATAGTTACATTGAAATACAGGCACGGACAGCTAAGTGTTTTTAGTTCAATGTTCTCCCCCACTCTCCAATTAGAACCGACATGTCGCAATTTTGTAGCTAAAAGCTAGAAGGCTACCCGTTGGCTCGAGCCGGGGGGGGGCCAACTAAGCAAGCTGTTGTAAGTCATAATAAAGATGCTAGATGAAGGCCTTGAGAGTCAATACATTGTAGCTGTTCAATAGGTACCTTACCTACCAACTCTCTCTCTTTGACCTATCACTGAATCTAATGCCAACAAACCATTCCCGGGTGAGCAAATCCCACCTGAATGCCCCTTGCAAGCGCAGTTCTCCCACTGTCAAGGGTCCCCAGGCTTCCCTGTCAATTGGCGGTGAGAGGCACCTCAGGTACGAGCTGGCACTGCCAAAATCTGCCTGTTGCACATGTACCTCCTGATAGCTCTGGCGGGCCTAGCAATGTTTGTTGACGACCCCGCCACCAATTGGATGTCCCACTGCAGCAGCACACCCACAGATTGGAACTCCAAACACCCACCCCGAAAACCATCACCACCTCAGGCCCCTTCTTCCCCTTCCCCCTTCAAGCGCTGCGCGCGTACAGTATTTCTTTCCCCGTCTTAACTCTCCCCCGACTTCAACCTCTCGCCGTAGCTTCTTTAGCTTCATCCAGACAAAATGAAGGGCGAGGTATGTCTACAATTATGCTGCAGCCCGTCTCTCCGCTGTAGTGCATTGCTTCGCTCTGCTCGAGATACCTTTTGTCTGTTCCACTTGGTGTCTGGAGCTGTGCAGCTGGGGCGCCCCCTTATTATCCTTTGAAGCTGCTATCCGACCTCGCGATGCTGATTCTCTGCTATCCAGATTCTTCACCTCCACCTGGGCCAGGCTGGTACCCAGCTCGGTAACTCTGCTTGGGAGCTGTACGTTGTCTCCCTGGATTGTCAAATAACGCCACCCTCACGAACTTGAAGCTGACTGGCCTCTGAATAGCTACCTTCTCGAGCACGGTCTCGGCCCCGATGGTCGCCCCGACCCCAATGCTCCCGATATTGGTGACCCTGGCTCTTTCGAGACTTTCTTCACCGAGACCAGCAGCGGGAAGCATGTTCCTCGATCTCTCTTCGTCGATCTTGACCCCTCTCCTATTGACGAGATCCGAACTGGCGAATACCGTAACCTTTTCCACCCCGAGTTGTTGATCAGCGGCAAGGAGGATGCCGCCAACAACTATGCTCGTGGTCACTATACCATTGGCAAGGAGATGGTTGACAATGTCATTGACCGCATTCGTCGCGTCGCCGGTGAGCTCTTTCGACACCTCTGTACTTTCACTCAATGCTGACCGCATAATTCAGACAACTGCCAGTCTCTTCAGGGTTTCCTGATCTTCCACTCCTTCGGTGGTGGTACCGGTTCTGGTTTTGGTGCTCTTCTCCTCGAGCGTCTCTCTACCGAGTACGGCAAGAAGTCCAAACTCGAGTTTGCCGTTTACCCTGCTCCCCGAACCTCAACTGCCGTCGTTGAGCCTTACAACGCTGTTCTCTCTACCCACAGCACTATTGAGAACTCTGACTGTACTTTCCTCGTCGATAACGAGGCTGTTTACGACATCTGCCGTCGCAACCTCGATATTCCTCGACCCTCGTACGAGCACCTGAACCGCCTTATTGCTCAGGTTGTCAGCTCCATCACATCCTCTCTCCGATTTGACGGCGCCCTCAACGTCGATCTCAACGAGTTCCAGACCAATTTGGTTCCCTACCCTCGAATTCACTATCCTCTCATCAGCTACGCCCCTGTCATCTCCTCTGCCAAGAGTGAGCACGAGAGCTTCAAGGTACAGGAGCTTACCTTCCAGTGTAAGTCCTGCTCATGTTATAGTTACATCCTCGAAGATACTGACTCCCCATAGGCTTCGAGCCCAACAACCAGATGGTTGTCTGCGATCCCCGAAACGGCAAGTACATGGCTGTCGCTCTTCTGTACCGCGGTGATGTCGTTCCCCGCGACTGTAACGCCGCGATCGCTGCCCTCAAGGCCAAGGCCTCATTCAACTTGGTCGAGTGGTGCCCCACTGGTTTCAAGCTCGGCATCAACTACCAGAAGCCCATGGCCGTCCCCGCCGCTCCTGAGGCTGGAGGTCTTGCCCCCGTCAAGCGATCCGTCTCTATGCTTTCCAACACCACCGCCATCGCTGAGGCTTGGTCTCGGCTCGACTACAAGTTCGACCTCATGCACAGCAAGCGTGCTTTCGTACACTGGTATGTTGGTGAGGGTATGGAGGAAGGCGAGTTCACCGAGGCCCGAGAGGACCTCGCTGCTCTGGAGAAGGATTATGAGGAGGTTGCTGCCGATTCCTTCGAGCCTGAGGAGGAGCTCGAGTACTAGACGATCGGACAAGGCGAGTTTATGTAATCTCTTTCGACTTCTTTGACGACATGTTTTAAGCGATGGCTCGGACAGGGCTCACGCCCGCGAAGCAATGTACAGAAAAGAGTTGCGGAGGAAGTTGTTTAAGATTCCCGTGATTTTTGAGGTGGCACACATATGGGGGTAAAGATGTGTTGGTCACCAAGCGCCAGAGTTTGGCTCAGGGTACCCCGTTAGTACATGGTCTTGAATGTTGGTGCCAGGCCCTGATAGACGAGACTATCCCTCGACGCAAGCTTGGTGCCTTTGTTAGCAGGCACGTAAAATTGATGATATATCCATTTTCATTAAAATAGTTTTGCCCTCGGCCTAGTTTTACGTCCGCTGATATGAGAACCACCTAACTAACCACACCAACGTACTGGGCTAGCTCCAACGAAGTCGTCGTGATGTAACCATGATTTGTACCAAGATTCCGTCTCAGAATTCTGAATCTTGACACAAAAACTACAAACGTACGTAAGCATTAAACGCATAAGCCAAAATTAGTGCTTTATATACTGGTGAACTCTGTACAACTCTATGAACTTTTCAACATCACCCCGATAAGTATTCAAGTACCTTTGTTTCTCATCTAAGCGGCCAGGACTTGCCAGGGCAGCTAAGGCCGAAAAATCACTCGCAAACTTTCCGGGGCGTGGAGCCCTCTTTTTAACAACACCATCCTCGTCCTCATCTCACACATGAAAAGAGCACATATCCCATATGTCAACCACTAGCGATATGAGTGCTATCCACCATAAAACGTTCAGCTCTTCTTCTTCCACTCGGCAGCTCTCCTTGCACCTCGGTTTTGGGGCCTGCCGGACCTGCCCTTGCCCTTGCCCTTCTTGCCTAGTTTAAGATCTTTGGGTGTGCCATCCTTAGCTGAAGCACGGCGGCCTTCAAAAACGAACTGCTCGGGTCCTTTGATATTGGACGGGATGTTCTGAGCAGCTTCGGAAGCACCCTGTGTTGAGGGGCGCTTCTTGTGGCGTTGCTGCACGGCGGCCGAGCGGCCGAGAAGCTTGCTTGTACGTCCAGCCATGGACTGCTCCTCAGGTGTAGCCTTGTGCTTGTATTTTGTGCTCTTAGCGGCGCCATGAGGAACGATGTTCTTACCCCTGGCTCGCTCCTGGGCAAGAGCCGTCTTGCGAGGATCCTTGGCTCGAGTGACTCGCAACTTACGCGGTAACATGGGAGGGAATTTCTTGCCATCAAGGAGTAAGGCTGCCTCGACATCGTTGCCATCCTGGAAAATCATGTTAGCAGCTGGTCTGATCGAAGTAAGTAAGACAACCGTGGACTTACATAAAATTGGACATAGGCGAAACCCTTGCCTACACGAGTCTTGGAATCTCGAACTACTCGGACGTTTTCAACCTTGCCCTGAGTGCTGAAAGTTCGCCAAAGACCTTCTTCGACATCGGATGGGGTCTTGTTCTTCTTCTTCTCCGTAGTGTCACCATCCGCGTTGGTGTTCAAGACGGTCTCATCGTCAACAAACCCGAGGTTGCCAACAAACACACATCGGCGGTGATCAGTGGGACTGGGGTGAGCGACACTATCGACTCTAAGGTGCCTTTCAAGGACCTGGGTACCATTGAGTTCTGCTGCAGCCTTACGAGCAGCCGCTGAGGTTGAGTACACGACATATGCATTGGCGGACTTGGTCGTCGCGTCCATCAGGCTCTTTGTAATGTAAGCTGCTCGCTTAGGGAGAGAGCCACCTGCGAAAGCAACGGAACGGAAACGCAGTGACTCGATGGTTTGCGGAGGAGTGGCATCTTTTTCCAGAATGGATGACAGATGGGCCATGAGGGTCTTCTTGGCGGTCTTGGAATTGATTGCTTCTGTGGACACATTGGCGAGGAAGACCGTTCGCGCTGCCTTCTCGATGTCTGATGATTTGTTGTCCTTGGCGAGGGTCTCATGGACGGGAATGTCACTGTCGTTGCCGGCATCCTCGTCCTCCGCGACAGCCTTTTCGGTCTTATTCAGAGCGTCGTTCTTTTGTCGCTTGCCAGCGCGCTCAGCTTCCTCCTCCGCAACAAGTTTGTCCAGGTATTTGCCCTCCAGATCGTCGTTGTCGTTTTTTCTCTTTCGTTTCCGATCCTTGTTTGACTTGTCTTCTGTCGCATCAATAATGTCGTCGAGCTCTACTGGCGCATCCTTCATGCGCTCGTCGGAAGATTCTTCCTCTTCCTCTTGCTCGTCGTCACTCTTCCCCTCTGGTTCCGAAGCGTCAGATCCATCCTCTTCCTCGTCTGAGGGACCATCTTCTTCGAAGCTCAGCTCTTCGCTAATCTCAGAGAGGACCTCATCGTCGGCGTCTTGTTCTTCGAGCTGCACCCTTGGCTTGGGAGGTTCCCGAACCTTTTGTTCCACCAACGTTGAGTATCTTGACTTAACTGGAGCCTGGACAGGACCAGCCTGCAAATGATGAGCATGGATCAAGTCAAATGGTTAGATGTCGCAAAACTTACACTGGACGCAAAAAGAGCGTCGAGAGTGGGGTCCACCGCCTTGGAAGAAGCTGCCAGGCCCTTTGAACTGTTTTTTGTGAGATCTTTGTCCATAAAGGCATCAAGGATCAGCAGCTTACCGTTTTGCCATTGTGTCAGATTCAGTACTGTTTGTGCTGAATTGGAAAAGTTGTCGACTCTTGTGCACTCTTTTTGACCCGCGACGAAAAAGACATGAGCCAGAAAAAAAGTCCCAGGCTCAGTACAGAAGACCCACAATCAGATTGCCCGGGACATAGTCATTGGGTCGATAACCTTAGCCAATCGATAAGCTCTTGTAGCACCGACATCGAGCATTTCTGCCGTCAAGGACCGCCTTTTTACGGGCCCCGTCATTCTCTTGGCGCTCGCCCCAAGCCCAGAGACGCCCAGGGCAGCCAGCGCAAACCGGGGCCGCACCGTACCCATCCCATTCACTCTCTCTACTCTCTGTTCCCCTCCACCAGCCCAACTTGTCGAATACAAGTTTCCTAGCTCTTCCTTACCTTAAATTCCTCTTTGGAATCTCTCATGCCAGACGGAGATCGGCCCAATCGGTTGTTTCTGAGCTCGCATTCACCTTCTCACGCTCCCGCTTCAAGTTCTTGCGTCCTCGATTGTCTAGCGACCATTCCTCGTCACCCGTCACCGCGGGCGCGCTCCCACGACTTTGCGATCGACCAAAGCACTGTCTCCCGCCCAACGATACGAGAAAACACAATAGTTTCATCGAGTCAATATATAGACACGTAATCGCGTCCTTTGGCAGCCATGGCTGCCACTGCTTCCGCACCTCCTCCTCTCTCCTCCCCGGCGCTTGGAGTTGCCGATCATGAGGATAGCAACATCTCCAGCCCCCTCAGTGAGGTTGACACGAAAGACGACCACGACGAAGACATTGAGCATATGAATCTCGATCATGATGACGAAGATAGCGTCAGGCGTAGCCCTCGAAAGAAGCCACCACCTACCTCTGACTCGGACAGCGTTCTCTCTGATGCCCACTCCGACGTACCCTCGGATGGCAACGTCACAGAAGCTGAGACTGAGCGACTATATGATACACCAAGGCACCAGAGGCAACGAGACGTTGTAGTGGACCAATTTAACGAGGGTCAAGTCTACGAACACACTCCCAGCAAGCTACGCAGGACCGCCAACCTGCACAACGACGACGACGATGAATCTGCAATAGACGATGACGATGCTTCTACTGGCTCCCCCACAATAGGCGAAAATTCGCCTACAAAACATGCCATTGTACACAATGCAGGAGAGGAAGACGAGCACAAAAATGACGCCCAGGAGCGGAAGCGGAAGCGTTCACCCGCCGCCGATCAATCAGAAACCGAACAGCCGCTTAGAAAACGGGCAAGTTCAGAGCATGCGACTGATGTGAACACCCCCCAGCAGCTCGAAGAGACTATTCTGCAAGATGTGAACACCCCTGCACATGAAAGCACCGGCACACATACACCCACCGAAGACACTGATGCTTCTCCCCAAAAGAGATCTACCAACAGAGAAACTGATCTGGCAGAGCGTCTTTCGCGCGCCGTGAAAAAGAATACACGTGGATCCAAACGAAAAGCAGCAGCAGTTGCTGATCTTGACCCAGACACTGACAGTGGAAGTCATGATGGCGCGCGCGACAGCGCCAGGGGAACAGACGTTGATCACCACGACGAAGCTGATGCAGATGCGGACGAAGAAGTTGACTCAGCTACTGCACATGATGAAGAGCGTAAGAACATATTTTCTCATGATCCAGATCATCTTACTTATCTTATCACAGTGGAACGAAAACAAGCCGCTTTCAAGGATTGGACTGTTATCGAGGAAATGTTTGGGGTGTTTCGTGATAGGTGCGTTATATCGTCAAAGCAAGCATACACCCGCTGATATCTTGTCTAGACTCTACAAAGACCGACTTGAACGACTGGAAAAGGAAGAACAGTCACTCCTTGCCAGCGAACCGACACATCCCGAGTACCTAAACATGAAGCAGTGTTTGGATGACCGACTAGAACAAAAACTACGCGAAATAAACAATGAGCACGAATATCGGCTCAAGGCTCACGAACGACGGTCCGTTGCCCAGCGAGCCCAAATATGGGGACAATACTACCAAGCGGTTCGTGAGAAGAGAGAAAGGACCCTGGAAGCCCTTAACCAAGAGTGGTACGACATCCAAACTGCAAGGCGAAGCGCACACAGCTTGCAGGACTGCGGCTTGCTCTACCCCAAGGATCCCGCACAGCGCGTGAGAAATGCGATCGCCTACAATACCGAGGTCTCAGCACTAGCTACAATTGCAAAGTACGAAGGGTTCCCTGCAGGCCCCGAGATGAGCGGGGCGACACCGTCGGAAATGGAAGACGATATAGCTGCCATTGAGGTACGTTGATAACACGGGTCAGCTCTCAGAGCACTGAGCTGACTATCGTAAGCGAGCCAAGCGATCACGACATAAGCCAGTAAACCAACGACGAGAGGAATACTATGCTCAGCCATTTGATCGCCTCGGACCCGCTGGTGAACAATTCCTTCGAGAGACGCCGTGGGCCAATCCAAATCACTTACTTCACAAGATGCACCCTACAGCTGCTCCAACGGAAGCAGTTCCGGACGATATGACTAGCCGTGGTGCGCACCAAGCTTCTGTGCCTCCTGGCGCCCAAATCACGCAGTCTCCATCACTCTCGGCACGACTATCAGAGTCTCCAGAATTGACAAGAACGTTACTTAGCCCGGCTCACCAAGCCAAACGGGTCAGAAACAGTCTGCCCGGCGTCAACCGCGGTACAAAAGCAGAAGCTACATAGATGCTGAGTGTGTAGGATTTGTGGTTGAACATATCCACCGGATAGGACTGAATTGGTAAAACTATGGGACATCTTGCTTTTGTACTCGGATTTTGTGATACCCAGGGGAGATGATCGGTTCAGGCCGCCACGGCTCGGGCTGTCTTTTTCTTTTTCTTTTGGACTTGAGCGGCATTAGAATATTGTATTCGTCTGCGGCAGCTGGTATATATCTGTCTACTGCCATCAGTCGAGCGAAAGGCATCTACTTTGTAGGTAGTGGATAGCCAGTTGCTTGAGAGTCACTGTACAAAGGTCTTCATATACTTATACACACCCTGCACAGAATAGCTGGCAAACCTGTTATACATGAAAGAATGGGGAGTTTTCTGGGCGTTCTGCTTTGTAGGTCTTATGAATAGCAACGCTGCCTGTTGCCCTCTTATTCAACTTGCATCAGCATTGAAATTCCAGCGCTTAATCGTACATGTGGCCAGGCCACTTAGGTGAACTGTCTACTTGGAGGCAGATGGCTTCGCGGGCGCATCTGGAACCTTGACATCTTCGAAATTGTCTTGACCGACGGCGTTAAGCGTATACCAATCTAAACCATGTTAGCAGAGGATGACAACCACACAAGAGCTCTCTTTCTCTGCATACAGATGCTTCCAACGACAGCCAAGAGACCAAGGCCTGTCACTGCGTTTTTGACAAGATAGGGTCGTCGTGCTCGTACAAGCGCAGGGCCTTGTCGCAGACGGCGATCGTAGTATGTTGAGTGCGGGCTGTTTCGGAGTCATGATCAGCCCACTTCAGTGACAATTATTCAATAAACAAACCTGGTAGGCATTTTGGATTGTCGAGTTGTCAATTAGTATAAGAGTTATCCCGAGCCAGGTCGCAATGCAATTGAAGAGGGCTAATCGCTTGGACGCTGCGAGATATGGTTCTATCTCGAATGTACTTCGAGTGAATGTCGATGCGCCTTTGTACTGAGGTAAGAGGAATATTGCGGCTAAACATCGGCCGGAGGGAGGATGACCGTGACGTCTATCGAACTTACCTTACCTTAGAGGCTTAGGTACCTAGTTCCAGGTTCTTTGTGGAGCTTGCTTGCTTGCAAGGGTCTGTTCCCGTTTCCACGTTCCATATTCTTTGCTTTCGCGTCGCCATTTCAAAGATTCAGACCTGAGATATACCAAGCCTAACAGCGACAGCGACAACGACAACGACAGCGCGGAACGAATCACAGGCGTGTATGACAACGCCACGGCACGCGCGACTTCTGATTCTTTGATGAAGCTGAATAGTTGATGCAAAGCATGCACAGCTACAAAGCTTAAGCCTAGTCGCGCGACCACGGTTCAAGAGCCGCATCGGCATCTTTATCTACGAAAACCACTTCATCGCGCACTTGCAGGCAGCTCATAATTCTATCATCCGCCGACACCTACCGCCGCGACCGAGAATCCGACCGATAAATTATGGCAGCGAATCTTTCAGTGTCGGACCAGATCCGGCAGCTTGAAGATGCACGAAAGTTGGTTTTGGGAGATGTCAAGTATTACCCTAGTGTTGTCAAGGGAATACTACCCATCATCGGACCAAGTGCAGCGCTTGAGCTGCGAAGATGGGGCGCCGAATTTCTGGCTGAAGCTTTTTCGACGCCCGCTCTACCAAATGGAGAAAAGGAGACAATGCAACCTTATGTTTTACCAACATTGGAGTCTATGCTCGAGAATGAGCGTGAAGATCCTCAAGTTCTACGAAGTGTGATCCAATGCGTTGCCAGTATTTATCCCTTGGCGATGAGATGGATGTATGATGAGATTGCCCTGCGAGATGCAAGATTTAGCTAATGTGACTATGTAGTATCAACAACGGATACGACACAATAACTTGGGAAAGAATGGTAGCTGTGAAACAAAAGGTCCTCAGGATATGGGACAATGCTAGCCCTACTGTGAGGATCTGTTGCATTAAGTTCGCGCAACGTGTAGTTCTGGCACAGACAGCAGCGACGGGTTCTGAGCTACGAGTATGAGTCGGTGATCTAAATAAATGGAGTGTTGCTAACATATTGAAACAGTATGGTGGTACTCTAGATGTCTCGCTGGATAAAGTTCCCCCAAATCACCAGTCACTTGATCCTCGGAACTTGGAGGCTGAAGCGTCCGGACTCCTGGACCGAATGTTGACAACTCTGCAGGAGAGCAGGTAAGAAGGTTGCTTTTGATTGCAAATGCTCGTGCGACTAACTTTGCTCGAAACACAGCGATGCTCTGCTCGTAGACGCAACGTTGAACTGCATGTCTATCCTTGTGAGGACACGACCAGGAACCTCGAACAGGATCATCAATGCTCTCCTCAACTTTAATCCCCTCAAGCTCGCCAACTCTCCTCTAACCCCCAAGACCCGCGTCATGATCAGATCTATGGAGAAAACAACTCGAATGCTACTTATCCATCTTATCAAGCGAGATCCCAACAATCCGATGACTCATAGGATACAGCAGCACGTAGAACGCATGATGGAGATTATGGCAGAATTCTTTGACAATTCTGGACGGAAACGCCCCCTCGAGCCAGCACCACAAGGCGCCAACGACGCCAAACGACAGCGATTGTCCCCAGCACAAATTCAAATACCACCACTGGGCCCTGGCCCCCACAGCCTAGCAGACGTTTTCACACTCATCGACAATACTGCTCTCAAGAATTTCGATATCTCGCAAGTTCCCGCTCCTTTAGTCGCCAGGATCGCTGTCACCACGCTGTCGAGGCTTGACCCTCAGGTATTATCTAAAGCTGTCGATGGTATTCGCGGCCGTCTCGAGGCTCTAGCCAATGCTCCGGCTCCTGAGTTAAATCCCAACACCGCCCCGCTGGGCGTAGACGAAGATGATGATGACTATGAGCCTGATTTCTATCAGGCTGAGGACACAGAACAGATTCTCAACAAGCTAGATAGCTCACCCATGCATGATGCACCGGTATTGGACGATGGTCTAGCACTGAAATCATTCCACCTTCATCAGCCTAGTGCTCTAACCCCAGAAACGGCACTGACAGCAGGCAACGGAACAGTCACCCGGGTAATTGAGATGATGAAGTCACTAGAAGACCCGGCCAAGAAGAGCAAGGCTGGCTTCAGCAGATTAGCAGCTAGTTCTGGTAATCGGGATTCTTGGATGACAATACTGGCACGACTAGCAACGCGCTCTGTAGCCGGTCTCGAGGAAACCTCCATCAAAGAGGAGGGTAGCTCATCAGCACCCCAGTCCCTCAGCAACAATATTCGCGACGTTTTATATTCCTATGTGATGGAGGACTTCCGAAAGCATATTGATGTGGCGGTCTCATGGCTCTGCGAAGAGTGGTACAACGACAGACTACAACAGAAGAAGGGCGGCGATCGACCCTTGTACTACGAAAAGTGTTGCTTGCGTCTGATTGATGGATTTTTGCCATATCTGCACCCCCAGGACAAAGTGTTGACGCGATTCTTGAGTGAAATACCCGAGCTAAACAAGAACCTCCTGTCGCGCGTGAAGCACATGTGTCGCGACCCCAGCGTTGTTCAGCTCGCTTTGACAAGCCTTCTATACTTGGTCATGATGCGGCCACCTGTCAAAGATATTGCACTGGATACGGTGCAAGATATCTGGACCGAATGTATGTTGGATTTGAACCTCGTCTCAGGATAGTTGCTGACCCGTCACTAGTTGAAGAATCAAGACCTATGGCAGGCAAGTATTTGACCAAATATCGGCCAGCTTTCATTGAGTCTGCACGAAATGCAGCTGGTGACCCTGGACAGTCTGCATCACCTGCTATTACCACTTGACGCGGGCCGCTAGTTCTAGCACCGAAGTCATAATGGATTGTCAATTAATCAAAAGTGCAACAATATGCGATTGCCACTTTATCCGGTTGTATCAAAAGATGTAAATCGTCAAGATGATGATGGATGTATGGAGTTGCTCTAGCCACAAAACCCGGCTAGCTTAGCAAAGGAATGGCTTGACGTTACTTTTCAGACACACTAGCTACAGAAACAAAAGGCCTGGAGTGGATAACTGTCTCAGGATGACAGAAAACTAAATCACGAAGTGAGGCATTCAACGGCGTTAAAGGGTCGATACAGGATCGAAATATCAGTTGATGATGTGGAGGACGGCATTGTCTTTTTGGGTTGACTGCTGTGAAGCTGTAAAACAATTCATGGGACGCGCATCTACCGTTGCACATAACCAAGCATGGTTT